GTGTTTAAACAAAGACAGGACACTGGAAAAGAGTACAGCACTCCGCTTTTAGCTATACTGTCAGCATTTTTTGTTCTTTGAAGAGCAGGTGCCCTCTTTTGGATACTTTTCCCCTGCCTCAGCATATGTGGCAGCCAAGACAGCCACAAGACACAGAGTATCACCACACAATTTTATTAAGCTTTAAGCACTCAGCCAAGCAGAGTAACACCACAGCTCACCAGAAGGCTTCAGGCACCTGCCCATACAGAACAACACCAGATCACCTCAGAAGGCTGCAAGCATCTGCTCCTCTTGTTCCTCAGCCCAACCTTTTATACCCTCATGGTTCATGCACGGCACCTGTGCCCTCTGCTCCCTTTGGTGCCTGGTCAGTCACACCTGGGCACTCCCTGCCTCCTTCCCTTCAATGCTGCTCACCTGCTTGGCACAGCTGCAGCCCATTGGGGATGAGGCTCCAGCCCCACTCCCAGTTCCCACAAACTGTGCACCTACATTCCTCTAAGCTGGAAATTCAGCATCTCAGGACTGCTTGGCAAGCCTGACTTACCCATCTGTGTCAAAACACATTTGTTAAAAATCTACCATAATGAAAAAAAAAAATCATATCGCTGCACACAATGCTACAACCCTTGTGACATGCTGGTAGGATTTCAGGTTACTTTCAAAGTGAAAATTGTCCAGCTGGATTCTGTTCAGCTGCCCGAGTTTCTATCAGGTTACCAGGAAGTTGTAATTTTGCATGTTAGGTGGCTTTGAAGTCTGAAAACACATGCAGTGCTTTTTTTTTTTTTTTTAATATTAACTTCAAAAGATGGGTGGAAAACTTAATTTGTTATGTAGCCATAGTGCACTTAGTCTTCTATTAATTTCTGTTAATCACTAAAAAGTAGTGTAGCACTTAGTAAAATAGAGTTTGAAGCAAGCAGCACAAAGGGAGAAAATTTGGGTAGAACAGGCAGGTAGGCAGACTCAGGAAAGACCTGCAAAACTGACTCTGGTAACACAATTCTCTAATACAGTACTTCTGAACCCAATTATATTTGGCCCTTTTCTGAGGGCAGATAGGCATTTCCTGAAATAGTTGCAATTCCTCCTAATGCTCTCATTGCAGCAGCTTCTTAAATGGTAACAAGCAGTGAGGTGTAGAAAGTAACTTCTTGTGACAGCTCTTCAGCTGAAACAACACGGTTCAGTTTATAAATTCTGAATAGAATATTGAGGCTGATCTGGACATCCAAAACAGAAACAGGGCATAACAGAAGCCATTTCAGTGAAACAATCATATCAGAAGTCAACTCTGGCACAGCTACAGCAATTTAAAACAGTGGCAAGCAAAAAAACAGCAGAGCTTTGCTCACATTTACAACAGCACCCAGATTAAAATAGTAGTCATAGTAGCTAGAAAATTATAGACTTAACAGTATGCCCTGCAGAGACTATTAATTGCATTTAAAAACCAAACAGTAGTACTTCTCATTACTCAAAGACTCAGTAAACCTTGGGATGTGTATTTAAGGTACTGAGAAGTCTAATACATGTGGGTATGAAGAGCAGCAGGTGACTGTAAACCAGAAAGATTTAGAAAAAAAATAAATCAGAACTATCTTCTCACCTTGCCATATTTCACCAAGAGCTGGATGTTGAGGCCTCCATGGACTCATCTCCTTCCCGCTCTGTTGACCTGAATTCCTGACACACAGCAGTGGTGCTTGCAAACCAGCACCCAAATTGCCACACACCTCTTTTTGTCATCTCAGAGTTATGTAATTTTCAAAATCTTGGAAAATTGCCTGTACCAGCTCTAAGGTATGATCTGAAAGCCACAATATTCCTTCTTTGTTAAAAGACTTGCCATGGGTACAGTGAGGAGGGAAAATAGAAAGAGAGCTTAGGCATTCTGAATGTTCCATAAGAGCAAGTTTTCATCATTAAGACATCTTGCTACAATTAAGTGTATCCCTTTGTAATTATGTGCCTTGACATAATAGTTGATTGTTTTTTCTATAGGTGGGGTGTTCTCCTCCAAGGGTTCAATTGACTGCACCTTGGTCTGCTTAGAAATACTCACTGGCACTACCCCAAAAAGCACCACGTGCACCATGGACATCAGCAGGGTGTTACCTGTGAGCTCTGCTTTTCTTTTTCCATGGCTGCAGATTCATGGTAGCAAATGGGTTTGGTCACAGATGGACCAGAAATGACTGAGAACCTCCCACGTCAGTGAGCTCACCAGGTCACCAGGAACACACCCAGCTCTGCTGGACAGGCTGTGACAATCACAGTGCAAAGGATCTCAAGCAGTAAGTTCCAACGTCATTGTGTCAATCCAGTAATTTCAATATATTATTCAGTAATAGATCATGTTCAAAAAACTCACTCAGTTAAGCTTTCAGCAGCCCACAAAATTACAGAATAGCTAAAGACAGTTTCACAAAGAGAAACAAATTTTCCTTTTAAATAGAAACACAAAAAGGTGTTGAACTTGGGGATTTCCTTAACAGAAAGAAATATTTCTAGAATTGGAAAATAAAGTGGGAAATAAAAACAGAATTGCCATTAATGCAGTAAAAGAGGCCTCTAAAAAAAATTAACCAGGAACAGATTAATAAAAACTAATATTTCAATTGTGTACTTCAGAAAACTATTCAGTAATCACCAATAAAACCAACAAGTGTCCTATAGGGAGCTGATTTACCCATAAAATTGAGTCAAAGAGGAAAAGGAATTCAGCACCTCAAATCCCTATTGCAAGGTAGTCGTAGTGATGGAAAGCCTAAGCCATAACTTTATGGTGCATAGTTGAGGAACACTTGCAATTACAGCTGAATTTGCTTTGTATCAGGCTCATTACAACCAAAAGGCTGAAAATTCCTTTTCACTTGGTACTAATTCCATTTTGTTGACATCTGATTAGCCATGCTGATCTTAAATGCTGACAAGGCCACTAATAAGGGGGGAGTTAATGAATTACATAATTTAGACTATTTTGAGTAAATAAATCTTTAGAGTAATTACCCTCTACAATACCATTTTAACACAGTTAATGTGGCATATATTTACTAAAGAAGCAGTTTTAGTAATGTAAACATATTAAGATTTTTTTCAATCAAGGAAACACAGTTAGTAAAAGGTTAACCAGATAATACTGTTAAGGCAAAAAAATTCACCAGATTATTACTACATTAGCTTAACCAAATACTTGCTAGAATATCTTTACACTGTCACAAAAATCTCTGACTGTTATTTATTTCTACAGAATGTCAGCTTAAAAAAACTAAAGAGGGGAAGTAACAAAGGATTTTTTTGAGAGCAAATGACCCTAAGTTGTAGTTACCACTGCAGTAAAAAGGCATTCTTGTTTCAATGGCAACTCAAAGCAATAGAATTTTTATCTTTCAAAGAAATAGCCTTCTTTATGGGTGCAGTAGAATTCCATAAACAATGCCTTACTAATTTTTTTTTACAGTTAAATAGCTATGAAATAATAGCTTCATTGAAATTACTGTAGGACATGAGACTATTGGTTTTTATTGGTGATCAGAGTAGGTAATCAGAGAGCCAACACTATTTCCAAGTCATCTGAATGCAAAATACACAGCAAGAAAGGAAACACTTGAAGTATCTGTGAGGAATAAATTAATCGTGTAAAACAACAATACTACCTGACTATTTCTGCCACTGACTCACACCTGCTGACCTCAAACAAGTTTTGTGTCTGTTTTTAAGTCAAGGTTTTGTGGGGCTCACACCCATTACTCCATTTCTACAGTTTCACAAAGATTCTGGTTTCTGCTGATGCTTTCCATAGCCAGGTTCTAGCTTAGGAACATACAACAGCAGAGCACACAAATCTTCCTGCCTTAGCTCTACTCTGAAACCCACTCCCTTCTGCTTTGATTTTTTTTGACAGATTCCTTTACTGCATCAAATTCTATCAGCCACTGTGAGTCATCCCCAAAGTCCATGTGACTGCTTTGATAAAGTCATACAGGTGAAGGTTTCCTGAGGCTGGGTGGCCTCCAGCTGCTGAGAAGGACTCCAGTGATGAGCTGTTAGGAATTACTTACATGGAATGAGCTGCTGTGCTCAGATCACATTCAGCACATGGGCATATGCCAAATCTTTGATTATTAATAGGGTCAGAATTTCATTCCAAATATAACCAGGGAATTTGTGCCTTGGGCTTTGGCAGAACAAGATTTCACATGCTGAATCTAAAGGAAAAGGCTCACGTGATGTTAATCAGCACAAACCTGAATGAGAAAGAAGCCTGAAAATAAGCTTTGCCCATGTGCAAGTTCCCCCCAGGGTTTCCTGAGAAAGTGATTAATATTTGCCTCCTCATATGGAAAAAAACACTATTAGAAACCACTCTTCCCTTGCTTGAGTCAAAAAACATGAACTGAAATCAAAGCATATTAGTGACAATAAAATATTCATGCCCTGGATATCTTATGCAAACTTTTTCAACACTGCATTATTAATGACACCTAATTGTAGTGGAAATTGCTGCAGGACAAGCTAATTTTACTACACACTTTATATTTTTAACTATAAGATTCTTTCCTGTAAAACCCACCAGGATCCTAGTAGAATTTCATCATCTCTTCCAACATCCAGTTGTTAGTATTGAGCGAACATTATTCACAGGAGCCAGTAACTTATGAAAATATAATGAAATGTGTCAACTTTTTGTAGAGTTTTCATCTGTGATAGAAAGAACAATTTGTTTTAAATGGTTCTTGCACAGACTGCATTCAAAGAGTGCTATATCCAGTCTCATTTTATTTACCACAGCAAGAAATGTCTCATAATTAGTATTACCAATATGTAGACCATCTGTGATTTAGGCTGGGGTGGGCAGCATTAAACCACTCCAAGTTGCTGAAGCAGATGCTGAAAGCCAAAGATCACCAGAGCAGCAGCATAATTTAAACACGTCACATTCTTCCTACAAGATCTAAAGGGACTGGCAGATCACACAGGAGCTCCTTTACCTTGTCTGTGGTATCTTGGGACCATCGGCTTCTTTCAGTGGCACAGCAACATAGAGAGCACCTGAAAAGCAATATCATATTTCTATCAGTAAAGGACTGTATTACTCAAGAATGGGCTCACTGAGCTGCAATTAAGACAGATTTCAAATCAGAAGAATTTTACTCTCAGACATAAGCTTTTCATGAGAGGCCCAAAGCATCCAGACTTCATCCCCAGCCTGGAGCCCCATCTCGATTGTAAATGAGCATATTCCTCCTTTTAAAAGAGGACACCTCTCCTGGAGCAAAAAACACATTCTCCTCTTTGAAACAAACTACCTTTTCTGAGGCACTTGCACAAAGTTACAGACACCTCAGTAACTGTGTCTTCTCACTACAACCTGGGCACAGGAAGGCTGGTCTACTTGTGGACAGACAACTACAGACATCTGCGACTGGGAAGAGCAGCAGGCAGGAAATACATCCAGGGAAATAATGGCACCAACAGCCCTGCAAATCCAGGGAAATGAAGAAGGGACCATATTGTAATGAGTCTTCTTCATTGCAGATCACTCAATTTTTACTGGCATTTTACCATTCTCTGATCTGCAGAATAACTAGAAACACTTGTAGATGAATGCTCAATTTCAGCAGAAATACAAACTTGTTCAACAGAATCTGACTTGTTTCTTTACACAGATGAATAATGGCTCTTTTCTGCAGTGTGCTATGCAGGATTTCTATTAAGCAACTCCCTGCTTATTTCACACTGTTCCAAGAAAAAGAATAGATTGACCCAGCTCTTCCTAACCCAGTGGATTCATGACCCACACCTTGGTCTACTGCTGGTTCCTTTCCTCTTTCCAGTGTTACAGCCATAGCTGTGGTGCATTTAGTTATGAAACACAAGACTTAATTCTCCCTAATTATAAAGCTCAGTCATTTGAACAGAAATTTCTTGGCTTGCTGAGCATGGGAACAGCCACGTCATGTGTTGCATCATCAGCCTCTGCGTTCCTTATTCCTACAGTGGATTTGCTTTCCCTCATGGCACTTCTACAACAAAAAAGCTGCTCCTAAGTACTAAATTGTACACTATGGCTCTTGTCATTCAAGGCATGTAACACACTGAGCATCACAGTAATTATCTCCATTAAATAACATCAAAGTAACACAGGCAAACCCAAGTGAAGTGGAAATTATGGTGTCCAAGATAAAGCTGTTGGCTGTACCCCCGTTATTCACTGCATTATTCCTTCCAAAAGGAAACTCTGTGAGAAAAACCCTGCTACACTTATAATTAGTTCCTAAATATTCACATTACTAATAGCAATCAAGTTAAAGAGAAATCATACATAATTTTTTCAATTATAAAATTAGACAAAGAACCAAGCAACGGATGTATGAATAATATGCCTTGAAGTCTATTGAAAATTTGCCTATTATTCCTAAAAGAAAAAAACTCATTTTAGACCCTGAGTTCAAAACAGGAATAAGACCATGCCAAACCTTATTCCGGCCTTCCTTTTAACCATGAAAAAGTTTTATTGTTTAAGCACTCTAGTATTTTTGGCTTTGTTGAAGAATAACATCCAACAGGAGTAAGCAATTATACAGACTCATTTGTACTGTAGAAGTTAAAGGTCTATTGTACTTTCAGATTAATAAAATAATTCCCCTGTACAGAGCTAGCCAATCCCTTTAGAAGTTTGCATTTCACATTTAATCTAGTCCCATAATTTAATCCTGATAGTCTCGTGCATTGCACCAGGGCTGAAAGAGTGTGCAATTATCTGAAAGCAAGCTTTTTATGCATGGGATAATTACAGTGCTACCAGCCAGCCCTACAATGTAGACCAGAATAGATGAACCAATTATTATTTTTTTATGTTTTTATTTTACACAACTCTTTCCTATTCCTAGGTGAATATAAGAGATAACACAAACTGCCACATTTACATGAATTTAGACCTTGGATACTTGCTATATCTCAGGAGAGCCCATTTGGAATTTGACTGAAGTGTGTGAATGTTGTTTTAGGATTTGCACCCATCCTTTCCACCCAACACAGTGACCTGAGTGGGGCAGCAAGGACACTCCCCATCACAGCTGGATGAGAAAAAGGTTCGGAGTCTCTGCTTCCTTCTCCTTCCTGCCTGGCTCAGCCAAAGCAGCTCAGCTGAGCTGTGCAATGGCTGCTCCAGGGAAAAGGCAGCAAAGCCAGCACAGCTCGGAACAGGTAATAAAATAACAAGAATGCAACAATAAATATTTGCCATGAAAGACAAGAAACTATTTCATTCTGTGTTTTAGTCATGGGCAAGAGAGAATGCAGGTCCTGTCAGACATCCATCAGCCAGAAAAAATTACAAGGAACTGATTTAGATTTTGTCACATAACTTATTTTCTTGGCAAACAGATTTTATTTTTTTGTATTTTTTTTTGTATTTACTCAATAGAGAACATATCCACTAAAGATGCAATTCTTTTTTTCAAGTATCAACCAGAAAGAAATTATCTACTGGTTTATAAATATGAAATAAACACTGCCTTAATGCTTAACTTTTTCTGTCTTCTCTCCTTGAACGAGGAGAATTAAAACAGGTAGAAATTCACCCTTATTAGATGCTGCCAGAACAAGGACTGCAACACAGCATCAAGTTCATGCTGCATGCACAGACATTATCATACTTCTACCTAAAACTTCAGCTAAAAAAACATGCTAAACTGGCAACATACTTGCATCCTTTTCAGGGAGGAGCTGTAATGACTATTCAGCTTTCATGAATATCAGTACAGAACAGAACTGTAAACATGAAGGATTTCCTACTCATGGTCCACCTCAGACTTAAAAATCACTCGCCACAAATCAGGATGACATAATGCAGTTCTGCTAAAACACATTACATGAAGCAAATGAGCTTATTGCCATTACTGACTTGCCAATCTCCATTTCTGTAGCAGACAAACCAGAGAGGCCTGGGTTTGCTTTAATCTATCTGAATAATTCTAAATTGATTTACAGTGAGGCATAAATGGGTAAATGCAACAGCCAGTATTCATTAAAGCTATAGGTTCAGAAAGACCAACAAGTCTTATAAATGCATATTCTCTTTCTGAGAGGCACAATCCATCACGAGACATGTCTCACCAAACACCACAGGTTGTCTACATCCCATCACAGCCAATACAAGGAAATCTGGCAGTCCAGACAAAGGTTTCACACTCACACCCTGGAGTTAAATACCCAGTCTGGGCCTCCAAATCTGGCACCTTCACAAAGGGAATAACCAACCCAGTAAGTGCTGGATGAGCTGAGAACAAGCCTCTAACCTGGTGGCCCAGTTGTGCTTCCTGGCCAGCTCCAGCCTCAGAGCTGCCATTTCCAGCAGCTTATAGATAAGTAAAACTTGGCTGTAGGAACTACTTTAGCCTTTGAAAAACTCAAACAACATAAAATTTAAAGGATCCTGATTGTGTACCCATATCTCTGGGATTACACCTTGCACAGTACATATAGAAATGCCCCTGGACAGAGAAGTAACACTAACACCAGGAACAGCAACTGAACACAGCAACATTTTTATCTGTTACTTTGTATTAACTTTGGAACTCGGCTACAACGAAACAAAAACAAAGCTCTCCTTCCAAGCCCTTACCTGAAAAGGGTCATGTTGGCACCTACCAGAGATGTTTTACAGTAACACTGTGGGTTTACTGCTGTTATGGACACACAAAATTACAACATGAATAAGGCAAGGAAATACAGGACACACTTTCAGTAAAGCACGGGGGTCACACCTCAGCTGCTCTGAATTTTATGGGACAAACTCACTACTTTCTGTGCTTTTATTGAAAACTGCAGGCCAGCAGAGGCTGTAAAAGGTGCCTTGAACAGGCACAAAGCAAGATTCTCCTGAAAAGCCAAGTGAGCTCTTTGCAATCAAGCACTCTGAAATGAGAAAATATGTATGATTCTCTTTCACACAGATTCATATTTGCACTGAAACAAAGCAAATATTTCTAGCAAAGAACAGAGCATTCTTGTTTGTCTCACTTTTATTAGCACTAATTAAGCCCATTTGTTAAAAAAGCTACTACAGACAAAGGCATATGGAAAAACTGAAAGATAAGACTATCACAGGAGCCAAATATCCTGGCAATATTCACTGAACTTTATACCAAAAGCTTGAGCTAATCATAACAAAATACAAGTCATGTCAAATATTGGCAGCTTCCTTAAGCCATTAAGGGAACATAATTCTATAAAATCAATGTAATAAAAGTATTAGCACTGAACATTTTCTGGTTGATGCCATAAGAACCATTTACATAAGCACATGTGGTGTTAATTCTGAAACGTTCCTTTTCGAAGCCATAATTACCATTGAATCAAAATCACTATTTGTTGTGTGTATGGAAGTTCCTCACACACCATTTGATGCTTGTTTTCAACCCACCCTTTCTACTTTCAAGCAACTCTCCTAATCTCCCCTTCTAACATGACTTCTTGTTATTCAGATGAATAAATATAATCAAATAAAATGCTTGCATTCACTACTTACCATTTGCTTTTGTAGAATGAAAATCATACTGGAGATGGTCTTTCTGACACCTCTTGGGCTGACGCTGCTACTTGAACCCCGGGAGGGTCAAGGATTACCACAGACCTTCCCCTGGGAGGCTGCCAGCAACTTCATGTGTTTACTTCCAGGCCAAGATTGCTTTCAGGGAGAAAGTACCAGTAATTTGCATGTTTGGGCCACCTTTCAAAACAAACAAAACACAGACACACACACTTGTCTCTGCCTAATTCTAGTTACCAGGAGGAATAGCAAGGAAAACAAAATTCCAAAGTAATAAAAATAACATCGTACTGCTGTGTAAGAGCCATCTATGCTATAGAAATAATACACATTTACCAGTGGGGCAAGCAAATCTTTTCCCTTCTAGTGGCCTGTATTTGCTGTTCAAATAACAAATAATAAAAGCTGAGGCAGTTTTCCATTTCATATCTGTAAAATTTTAAGTAGATGTCTTCAATAAAGCAGCGCCCAGAGCTCAACTAACAACCTGAA